AAAAATAGATGAAAAAAGAAAAGCATCATCAGGATCCTTCGTACGTCGTCATACTGGATCAAATCAAACCTCGATCAATTTTATTTTAGTATTACACATTAGAGCGAGTCTTATCTCATTAAACACATTTTAGTGAAAGAAGGATTAAGAGAAGTTGTATTGGTTCATATAATTCTCAGAGACGTTAGCCATTCCGCTAACGAGGGAACCTCACCAGATAGCCGCTTTCAATTTCAACGATTTTTTTGTCTATAGATACCACATAATGTTCTAATAAAAAACCCCTAAAAAAAGCGTTTAAATTTCCTATTGAGACTTAACGTAGCTATTAAATTTTTAATATGTCTATTTACTAGAGATCTTCTGTAAGACTATGGGTTTTTGGAAATATTGTGTCTTTGAATCATATCGCCATTTTGAAGGTCTCATACACAGCAGTTTGTATATAGAGATATGAACCTTCAGCATAGCAATAGTTTCAAGATAAAATTCAGAAAACACAATTTTTCCGAAAATCTGAGATTCTACAAAGTTCTCTAGCAAGTAGATAAATTGAAAGTTCAATATCTCCGCCAAGACTCCATAAGAACTCAAATCCTTTCAAATTTTTCATTAGAATACTATGTAGTTTCTATAGACAAAATATTATTGAAATCGAAAGGGGACATCTGCAAAGATGTCCTCGCAACCGAATATTTTGCTCATTATTAGAATAGTGGCGTAACCAGAAGATCATGGGTGGTAGGGCAGTGTCCTGTGACTTTAGAGGACAACTATGAAATATAATGTCAATGATGGTAATTATTACGTTTTTCTTTCTTCCGTTAGTAGGGCGGTGCCCGAACTAGCTCACGCATAGTTACGTCACTAGGTTCAAGACGTTGACAATTTTAAGATGAGATGCTAGTTTTTCATTTGAAAAAAATATATCAAAATCGATCTATAACGAAGATTAGAATTTAGTTTTATTCGCTTCAGTAAGCTATACACTTTTTTGTTTTATAATATATTCTTTGATAAAAAAAGCAATGTTTAATAATATATGTTTAATAAATTTTTCTATATCTTTCTTACTCAATAATTCCTGGTTTATGTTTTGATTCTTCATGATCTCCAAATTGTATTTGACATTGTAAACCAGAAAATTGAATAGCTTCATCATAAGTTACTGGATGTGTTCCATCGATAATTGCATTTCGACACTAGTAAATGATAATAAAAGAAAAAAAAAAAAAAATTTTTTTTTTGTCTGTTTTTTATTTTAATTATTTTTTTCATACTTGAACATAGAGTAAATTAAGTTGTACAGGATCACGTTGATCAATATTAGTATCAGAAAAAAAATATTTTCGTCGTAAAACAACAGTATTGTGTTCATCTATATTCTGTTGACGAAGCGTTTTTGATTGATCAAGCCATAAAGCTAAAATAGTTAAATTACAAAACAATATAATTAAAGTTTATATTTAACAAATTTACTATCATCATCTGTATGACATTTTTTTCGTAATTCTTCCATTTTTTTATCTGTTCGTTGTAATGATCGATCCTAGAATTAAAAACAAAAACAAATGATGTTAATCAAAATTTTTTAATTAAATATAAATTCAAATTACTCGAAGAAGAGTTGCTGTTTTTGTAGTATTAATACAATCATAAGAATCAAGATCATAAACTAATGAATATTCATCATAATTAGCAATACCAAATTTCGTACATATATAAACCATTAATTGTGCAACAATTAATGAATCATCAATAAGAATTGTTTTAACAGTACCATCAAGTAAACGAATTTTAAGTGGACAATATCGATTCTTATATTCAACATGATCCTATAAAAGAAAAAGAAAAGTACAAACACTCAAAAGATTTCAAGATGTTTTCTTTGTAATCATACTTCATTTTTTAAAACATAATAATTCAAAGTCTTTGTTGGATCAAGCCAATAGCTTCTCGATGACTGTTGAGTATCATTAATAAAAAGCCCATACTCTGATGCTAAAAGAAAATATTTAAAAACAAAAAAAAATTTTTTTTTTCTTATAAAAAAAAGACAAAAATTAAATATTTTTTCCTACGATCATGATCAATTGTCATTAGTAAATGTTGTTGAATATTATAACATATATCACTAATTAACATTTGAACATCAAATTGCATTGAATGAACAATATTATCATGTGGAATATGTATATTTAATGTAATCATATGTTCACTAGTATGATTATTTCCATTCATTATTGTTGAATTATTATTTTTTATCATTATTCTATTATTATTATATATTCGATGATGATAGTTTTGCTGTTCGTTATTTTGAGTTGTTTGTTCGTAAACATACTTCTAAAAAGAGGCAAAAACAAAATTGATAAAAGAAGAAATTGAATCCTTTATTCAAAGAATGTTTTTAGAAGTGAAAAACACAAAACAAACGAACTTTGATGATTATTACTTTTACTATTCTTTCAGGAAATCTTTTTTTGATTGTAAATGAATAAGAAAAGAAAAGAACAAATCAATGCGCATACAACGCCTTCGACTAACAGCAAACATAGTGAGTGTGTGTGTGTGTGGCCCCTGTTATGTGGTGTTCAATGGTTCAGAGGAAAAGAAAGAAAAACGAAGAAAAAAAAAAACTGTTCTCTTTTCTTTCTGCCTGTCCTGTCCAGTCAACAATGAACTTCTTGTTTTTCTTTCTCTCGTTCTTTTTCTGCTCTTTAGTATACTTAACCAAGTAATGACTATTACAATAGTTGTAGTTAGATGACGAGATATAAATGGCACTCGTATGCATACACGACGCAACAGGCGTTTAGTGCATGTCTACGATTGTACAAATGATAACGATCGTTTCTTAATGAACAATTCTCATTTCTTTTAGCGGATTGATTCCTGCTGAAACAACACTGTCCTTGACTTCTATTTGCATTCATTTTTCTTCTCCGTCTTTCTCTCTCTCTGTCTTTACAAAAGACCAGTAGATAAATGATTAATTGACATTTAACAATCAATAACAATATTAAACTTTAGTAGAAAGCAAAAAAAAAAAAGAAAAGAAATGGAAACAGTAATAACAAATGAGAAATATTTTAATCGCTAGCAGTCAAATATTGATGTAATATATCGGCTTGTTCATGTTGATCATTATTTAACCATTTTTCACGTATATGTAATCTTATTTGTTCATTATCAATTAATATATAAGCAATCATTGCTTTATCATAATGATTTTTATTAAAAGTATTAAAATGAAATTTTTTCCATATATTTTTTCTTATTATCCAATTATCTTTAATACATTGTATAATATTTTTATTATTAATATCAAATAAAAAGAAATTTTTTAATAATAAATTCCATGCTTGATAATCATTTTTATTTTTATTATAATCTAAATAATCAAATAATCGATCAAATATTTCAATTGAATTATTTATTTCTTGACAATAAATTAATACATATGGTGATGAACTTGGATCTAAATCAATTAAATTTTTTAAATAATTTATATTTAAATTAAACCAATAATTATATTTATATGCATTTATATATGTATGATGTTGTTCAATATATAATTCTAATATAGAATGAATTTGTTCAATATTTGTTTCTGTTATATAAAGAAAATAAAGATATTTTAATAGATATATATCATAATTATCAAAATATTCATTTGATAAAAATTGTATTTCATGAAAATTAGTTGTTAATTTAAATGTCCATAATTCTAAATCACGTTCATTATCTAAAGATATTTTAATTTTATTTATAAATGGATTAATTATTGTTTGAATTAATGAATAATTATTTAACCATTGTCTATAATCATATAAAAAATGTAAATTTATTAATAATAATTGTTCAAATTTTGGATTAAATTTTTCAATATATGTTACATGTTTACATCGACCTGAATTAAATGGTTGTGGAAGATTTTTATAACGTGTTTCAATATCATTATATAAAAATATTGTTTGAGGATTTATTAAATATAAACATAAATATGAATAAAATGTTTGTGTACGATTTATTGTTGGTGAATGAAATAATATTTCAAAAATTTGTGGTAATAAATTTAAATTTATTTGATTATCTATATGAAAATTTTCAATTAAATAACGAAATATAAATTGCCAATAAAGACGTATATATGAACGACAAAATGATGATTGTAAAAGATATTTTAAATAATAAAATATATTTGTCCATTGATGTTTCATTGCATAATGACGAAGTATTAATAATAATGAACGTATTTGATCATCATGATTTATTGTTATTAATTGTTCAAGACGTGTTAAAAATTTTCCATTTGAATACATACGTTTTGATGATATTAAACCTGTATATATATCAGATTGATATCGACCAGAAATTTTCGTTCGACATGGAATTTGATTTGAAGAAGAAAATAAATCAATATCATTATTATTCTCTAGTGGAGTTAGTTCTGATAATAATGATGATGATGATGATGATGACGATGATGAACGATGTAGACGTTTTGTCATGATATCTATAATGGGTGATCTCTCAAACATACATGCAAATTCATCATTAAATTATTTCTTTCTCCTCGTACAATATAAAAGCTTTATAATTTCTAGAGAAATCTTACCTCTTTAATAATTTATCGATGGAAAATCATTGGAATTTATATGAAAAAAGATAGACGTGAATGTATAAAACTGAGAATCAATGTGAAATAATAAACATAATAATAATAACAAAAGATAGACAAAGAAATATATTTGCTCGATAGTAAGAAGAGAACTATTGTAATAGTGTTACTGATTGATATTCATGTTTGTATTACTAAAGACAAATTCATTCTTCTTTTCTTTTTTTTTCTTTCATTCTCTCGTCAAAGTCAAACATTTCTACACATGCTCTCTTTGTTCATCTGTAAATAGACTAAAGAAACAAAAAAACAATCAACTATCTTTCATCGACAATATGGTAAACATAAACAATAAAAGACAAAAAGAAAAACATGATTAATTTTTTGCATCATAATTTTTATTAATAATCTTAAATGAACCATGATCATGTTGAATAACAACACCTTCACCAAATGTTATATCGACTTGACACGAATATTTATCAATTAATTGTTGAGTTAATGGTACTTGATTTTCAATCAATGGTACATAAGGTAGATTAAGATGTTCAGCAAGTTTTATAAAATATAATAAATCATCTGTTTTTCGTCTTGTATATCGTCCTTGTTTATTATTAATATTAAATAAATAAACAGAAAACATTGCCCATTGTAATGATTGTGTACAATATGAATTATTAACTTTTTTTTGTATACCACCACCATATAATTCACCACGTAAAACTAATGATATTTGATATTGTTCACAAAAATTTATTAAACATTCTTTTAAAGAATATTTTG